TGTGTCTGTCTCTGTGTCGGTCTCTGTGTCTGTCTCTGTGTCTGTCTCTGTGTCTGTCTCTGTGTCTGTCTCTGTGTCTGTCTCTGTGTCTGTCTCTGTGTCTGTCTCTGTGTCTGTCTCTGTGTCTGTCTCTGTGTCTGTCTCTGTGTCTGTCTCTGTGTCTGTCTCTGTGTCTGTCTCTGTGACTGTCTCTGTGTCTGTCTCTGTGTCTGTCTCTGTGTCTGTCTCTGTGTCTGTCTCTGTGTCTGTCTCTGTGTCTCTGTGTCTCTGTGTCTCTGTGTCTCTGTGTCTCTGTGTCTCTGTGTCTCTGTGTCTCTGTGTCTCTGTGTCTCTGTGTCTCTGTGTCTCTGTGTCTCTGTGTCTCTGTGTCTCTGTGTCTCTCTGTCTCTGTGTCTCTGTGTCTCTGTGTCTCTGTGTCTCTGTGTCTCTGTGTCTCTGTGTCTCTGTGTCTCTGTGTCTCTGTGTCTCTGTGTCTCTGTGTCTCTGTGTCGCTGTGTCTCTGTGTCTCTGTGTCTCTGTGTCTCTGTGTCTCTGTGTCTCTGTGTCTCTGTTTCTCTGTGTCTCTGTGTCTCTGTGTCTCTGTGTCTCTGTGTCTCTGTGTCTCTGTGTCTCTGTGTCTCTGTGTCTCTGTGTCTCTGTGTCTCTGTGTCTCTGTCTCTCTGTGTCTCTGTGTCTCTGTGTCTCTGTATCTCTGTGTCTGTGTGTCTGCGTGTGTGCGTGTCTGCGTGTGTGCGTGTGTGCGTGTGTGCGTGTGTGCGTGTGTGCGTGTGTGCGTGTGTGCGTGTGTGCGTGTGTGCGTGTGTGCGTGTGTGCGTGTGTGCGTGTGTGCGTGTGTGCGTGTGTGCGTGTGTGCGTGTCTGGCCGTGGCGTGCGTGCTGCGTGCGCGCCGCGTGGGTTGTGTGGTGTGTGTTTGTGTGTTGTTGTTTGTTGTGTTGTGGTGTTTGTGTGTTGGTTTTTTGTGTGTTGTGTGTTGTGTGTTGTGTGTTGTGTGCATTTGTGTGTTTTGTGTGTTGTGTGTTTGTGTGTTTGTGTGTTGTGTGTTTTGTGGTGTGTGGTGTGTGGTGTGTGTGTGGTGTGTGTGTGTGTGTGTGGTGTGTGGTGTGTGGTGTGTGGTGTGTGGTGTGTGTGGTGTTGGTGTTTGGTGTTGGGTTTTTGGTGTGTGGTGTGTGGTGTGTGTTGTGTGGTGTGTGGTGTGTGGTGTGTGGTGGGTGGTTGTGGTGTGTGGTGTGCTGTGTGGGTGTGTGGGTGTGTGGTAGTGTGGTGTGTGGTGTGTGTGTGTGGTGTGTGGTGTGTGGTGTGTGGTGTGTGGTTGTGGTTTGTGGTGTGTGCGTGTGTGTGTGTGCGTGTGTGTGTGTGCGTGTGTGTGTGTGGTGTGCGTGCGTGCGTGCGTGCGTGCGTGCGTGCGTGCGTGCGTGCGTGCGTGCGTGCGTGCGTGCGTGCGTGCGTGCGTGCGTGCGTGCGTGCGTGCGTGCGTGCGTGCGTGCGTGCGTGCGTGCGTGCGTGCGTGCGTGCGTGCGTGCGTGCGTGCGTGCGTGCGTGCGTGCGTGCGTGCGTGCGTGCGTGCGTGTGTGTGTGTGTGTGGGTGTGGGTGGGTGTGGGTGTGGGTGTGGGTGTGGGTGTGGGTGTGGGTGTGGGTGTGGGTGTGGGTGTGTGTGTGAGTGTGTGTGTGTGTCTGTGTGTGTGTGCCTGTGTGTGTCTGTGTGTGTGTGTCTGTGTGTGTGTGTGCAGTCTCGCTCGGGTCCTGCATCCCCGCCGCTCCCAACCTGCGGCGGTAGAGTACCTTGTCCCTGTGGCCATGGCTGAGGCAGCACGGAGTAACCTGGAAGACCGCGTCCGCCATGGCGGTCCAGAGACCAACCACACTTGCTGTGCTGATGACTTCGGTTGCTGCTCCTACCACGTTCGTATCCAAGCTGTTCGCACCTGTTCTCCCCTATCTTCTGGTGTCGGCCTTCCTCTCGCCCAGGCTGCTCGCAGCGGTGGCACCTGGCGCGGGCGTGGCCAAACTCCACTCGAACGGTACCAGTAGCCTCCGCAGTTGAAGCACATCGGCCTCGATCATCGGATCCACCGCAATGCACTGGATGCAGCCCGGCCGCGCGCCCGCCATTGTTGGAAAAGCACGCTGGGCCGAAAGGACTGCGGGCAAGCCTTCGTGATGCGACAGAGCCTCGTCCAACCCGCAAACAGGGGGGAGGGGCCGTCGCCCCCCTCGCCAGTAACGTCAGGCCCTGTGCCAGAACACTACGGCTTCCTCCTCCTCCTCCTCCTCCTCCTCCTCCTCCTCCTCCTCCTCCTCCTCCTCCTCCTCCCCCTTGTTGGCCCCAGCAGCGCCTGCGTGGACCAGGAGCGCCAGAGGGCCAGACATGGGAGGACCTCAGGAGCATCGGCACCCCTCCGAACCCAAGCTGTTCCTTATGCCGGCGCTTTGGCCGTACAGTCGGGGCGTTGACCTAAGGAACCCTAAATAAGGAACGGGGCCCCTATCTCCCATAAGTTGAACTTCGATGTCCCATGGAAAACCTCAGGAAAACCAAAGGCAAACTGCAGAACAATCAAGGAACACCGAGCCCCTCCCCAACGAAAAGGGTTCATTCTTCAGGGCCCCGACTGTACTCCTCCCTGCGCGCACCACCTCCCCCAGCCCCCGGAAGAGCTCGAAACCAAGATTTAAGAAACATCGAAATATCGATATCACTGTTTGCCGGCCTCGACTCTGCCCCCTCCTCCTCTCTTCCGATCCAGTGGGGGGTTGACATCGAAATCTCGATGTCGGTTTTCTTAAATCTTGGTTCTGGTGTTTTTCCCCCCAGCCCCCATCCCTTCTCCGCTCCCTGCACCCCGACCCCCTCCCCCCCGCCGCAGCAGCAGCCGTGCGCTTGCCCCCGGGGCGCCTGCGTGGCGCACGGCGCTGCTCGGCCGAGCCCCGCAGTGGCCGTGGCCTGCGTCGCCTCGTCGTCGTCGTCGTCGTCGTCGTCGTCGTCGTCCTCGTCGTCGTCGTCGTCGCCGTCGTCGTCGTCGTCGAGGTCGTTCTTTTCGTCGTCGTCCTCGTCATTCGTCACTCGTCACTCGTAGCCGTCGTCGTCTTCGTCGTCGTCAGCGTCAGCGTTAGCGTCCACCTCTCCATTATGCTCCCCTTCCTCATCCCTCTCCTCCTCCTCCTCCTCCTCCTCCTCCTCCTCCTCCCTTTCTGGAGACCCCCAGGAGGAGAAATTATTCCTCCGCATTCCCTCCCCTCTTCCTCGGATAAGGGGCGAGAGAAGCAGGAAAAGGGTGAGAAGGGAGGGAGGAGTAAGGAGTGGGAGGATGGTGGGGAGGACAACAAGCAAACTAAGATATTGGGTAGGAGAAGAGGTGAGGAGGGAGGTGGGAGTAGAAGGGAGGGAGACGGGATGCTGATGATGATGATGATAATGATGATAATGATGACGAGGATGTAGATGTGGATGTGGATGAGGATGAGGATGATGATGATGCTGATGATGATGGTGACGATGGTGCTTCATGGGGATGATGATGCTGACGATGATGATACTGCTGATGATGATGACGATGATAATAATAATAATAACAATAATAATAAAAATAAAAATAATGATACTAATAATAATAATAATCATAACAATAATAATAATAATGATAATAATAATAATAATGATAATAATAATAATAAGAAGAATAATGATGATGATGATGATGATGATGATGATGATGATGATGATGATGATGATGATGATGATAAGGAGCAAGAGGAGTAGCGGCACAAAGAGGAGGGAGAAGGATAAGGCAATCCAAAAAAGGCAAGGCGATCGGAGGGCGGGGGCCACGTCCCACCTAGCTAGAACTTCGACGCCCTCCGGAAGACATGCAACGCCGAGCCCTCCGCCGTAGAGAAGGGCCCGCTCACGGGTCACAGCGGGCCCTCTGGACCAACATGAGGATGAGAAGGAGAGGGAGGCTTGCCATCGCTCGGACGTTCAGTATGTGTACATTCTCGATGGTCCTCACCGAAGACAAATGCACACGTCTGAGCGATGCCAAGGAGGAGGACGGCGACGAACACTGGCAAAGATCAACGTGTCTCCAGTCGCTGCCTGGAAATGCCTGTGGGCAGGCACGCTGGCGACGAGAAGCGGGCAGCCCCGACGGCCGCGCAAGAGAGGACCAGCAGCAGGTGGAGGAGAGGGAAGAGGAGGGGGGAGGGCCCAGCAGGAGGCGAGCTAGGGAGGGAAGCCAGAGGAGAGCGATGAGCAGCAGACGCAGCGGCGGCCGCGGCAGCATGAGCAGCGACCGCGGCGGCGGCGGCACGAACATCTGTTCAATAGCCCCGGGTGAGCACTCCTTCAAGAATGGCTGATATGTGGCGAGAGCGGGGCGAGCGCCCGTGCTGGCCCTGTCCCAGAAGAAGGCGGACACTGCACACAACAGGCGGCGAGCGTGAAACAGGGGCGCGCGGGGAAAGGGCGGGGGAGGGGGCTCTGGAGGCCTCCGCGGGCACGCGGGCTCCAGAATCCGCCGCCGCGCCTGCGGCGCGTAAAGTGCGTGTGTGTTTGTGTGTCGGTTTGTGTGTTGTGTGTGTTGTGTTGTGTTGTGTTGTGTTGTGCTGTGTTGTGTTGTGTTGTGTTGTGTTGTGTTGTGTTGTGTGTGTCTGTGTGTGTCTGTGTGTGTGTGTCTGTGCGTGTGTCTGTGTGTGTGTGTGTGTGTCTGTGTGTCTGTGCGTGTGCGTCAGAATGCCAAGCAGAGCTGCGGAGGTCCCTTCGGTGTTGCAAAGGGGCCCAGGATTTCACGTCGACCCGCTGGGACCGACCCCCCCCCCGCCCAGCGCCCCAACGATGCTTTCAGCGGCGCGCTGACGGATGTACGCGGCAGCGCACCAGCACACCCAAATAGTGCTTACCCCGACCTGGCCCGCGGCAGAGACAACTCATAAACGCGCTCGGCACGAGCGCGCGCGCGCGCGTGGCGCGCACGCGCCACAGACCCGCGGGACGGGTGCGCGGACCCGGCCGCCGCCGCCGCCGCGGGGCCCTGGCCAGCCTCCGCCCGCGCGCGCGCCGGACCTGCGCACCGCGCCTGGCTCGGTCGCGAGGCCGGCGCGGCCGCGAGGCGGACACCCCTGCGCAGTGCGGCGCTAAGCGGCGTTCTCCATGAGCTTGTTGCCCTCCGCGTCCCTGACGCTCACCCAACCGATGACGCCGTCCTTCTGCAGCTTGGCCTTTATCCTCAGCTCCTTGCCCTCCTCTACCGGGCCTTCCAACCACTCGGCGACCTCGCCCGCGGTGGTCTCCCTCAGCACCTGCGCGCCCTCAGGCGATCTGGCGTCGTGGGCAGGGCCGCTCTTCAGCACCTTGTAAAACAGAGACCACTTCTTGACGGTGGTGCCCTTCAGCGTGATCCAACCGATCGCCCCGTCGCTGAGCGCTCGGCCCTTTATCCGGACGTCGGGGGGGAAGGCCTCTTCCTTGGGGCCCTCGAGCAGGAGCACGGCCTCGCCCGCCTCTAGCGACCGGACCTCCTCCACCGGACCGTTGCTCTTGAAAGCCTTGGTCATGGGCTGCTCCTGCACTATGGACCAGTGCTTCTTGCTCGGCTCAGCGTAGACCGTGCCGGCGTTACCCTTGCTGGTGATCCAACCCTCGGCCTCGTCTTTCAGCGCCTTGCCCTTGATCCGCGTGATTCCCGCCTCCTTCTCCTCGACGGGGCCCTCTGTTACAACGAACAGCTCCCCGACGGCCAGCTTCCTGACGACCTTGCAAGACTTCACGTCCAGCTCGTCCGTCATGGCTACCGAGGTTACGCAAGAGTAATACTTCGCATCCGCCTCCGCCATGACGGTGCCCTTCTTGTCCCGGGCCGTGAACCAGCCCTGGGCCTGGTCCTTGCAGGCCTTGCCCCGGGCTCGCAGCGCGGGGGCGAATGCCTCCTTCTTAGGGCCCTCCAGCAGCTCCACTATCTCGTCCGGGCGAAGCTCCCGGACGGGGGGCTCGGTGGTCTGGAAGTCCTTCTCCAGAGGCGCCCCCGCGGTGCAGCAGTAATAAGGCTTCTGCGCCTCTGTGAGGAAAGGGGTGCCCTGGTTGCCCTGAACGCTGATCCAGCCTTCCACGGAGTCGCTGAGGGCCTTCCCCCTGATCCGGCTCATCTTGAGCTTCTCGTCCACACAAGGGCCCTCCAACACCTCTATCACCTCATTGACTTCGGCCTTCCTCCTGGTCTTGCCCTTCGTGACGTCGAGGACATCCGTGATGGCGATGGGCTTCACCACAGTGTAGTACCTCTGCACGAACGCGACGAACCTGCGCCTCGAGATCCCCGCCGCCTCGGCCCCAGAGGGCAGCTTCCCAGCGCCGTCCGCCTCGATGCCCCTCGCGACCAGGAGCACGTGCTCCGGCTGGAGGGCGGCGCCGTCGACGGCCGCCGAGGCGTGCTTGCAGAACGCCTCCTCCGATATCCGATCGCTCGAGGCCGCCAACTCGTCGAAGAGGGCCTCGACCGTGATGCCCCGCTTCTGCACCTCTTGCGCGGGCTCGGGCGTCCCACGCTTCCCTGGGGGCCTCCTCGGGGTCTCGTAGGGGCTCTGCGGCTGCCTTGGAGGGTCCCGCGCAGGAGGAAGGGCACTTCAATTGAAAAGACAATGTGCACCAAGCGGGGGGGGTTAACAATACTTATTTGAAATGTGAAAATTCAACGGCTCCCGCCCTATACCTCCCCAAAAATTACTCTCACATCGCGCTGTCGCGCGGGACTTCCTTACAATGTATACACGAACCGCGCTCTCGCGTTGGACTTCCTTGCATTTAATCAAACGCCGCGCCCTCGACGCTCAGGAATCACACTCTCGCTGTGGATTTCATCCTGCTGTATTGAGGAATTTCAGAAATCGCGCTATCGTTCAAAACTTTCTCGCGACTCATGCAGGACGCACGCTTCAGCAACCCGCCTGCCCGACCTGTCCGCCTGGGCCCGCCTTCCCGACCCGCCCGTTAGGGTCTACCCGCCCGATCTGCCCGTCTGGCTCTGCCACATGATTTCTGCTCCTCGCCCCCCTCCTGCCGCTCGCTCTCGTGCGGGGAGGAGGAGGAGGAGGAGGAGGAGGAGGAGGAGGAGGAGGAGGAGGAGGCCCCTTGTCCCTTCTTTCCATCCGTCTCCTCTTTCCCTGCCCTCGGGGCTGCACGACATTCACACGGCAGGCGGGGACGGGATACCCCCGAAGGGGGTCACGGTCGAAGCCGAAGAGGGCGGGGTATAGAGGGTTCGGGAGGTGCGTGTTGAGTGGCGTGCGAGGAGGAGGAGGAGGAGGAGGAGGAGGAGGAGGAGGAGGAGGAGGAGGAGGAGGAGGAGGAGGAGGAGGAGGAGTTGCTGCTGCTGGTGTTGCTGTTGTTGTTGAATTTTCTAGTCGGAAAGACTGTTGCTACCCCCCCACCCCGATCCGGTAGTCACTATTTCTGTTCAAGTGAAGTGCTTTTCCCGAAGTTCGCATTCTGTTGCTTACCCTTTTCGAAA